ATAATGAAGATATTAAAGTATCTTCTCAAGGTTATTATGAGGAGAAAGATACAATAACATACAGTCTGGGAAGATATTTAGAATAAGTTATTTTACAGAAATGTGATTAAGAATAGCTAAAATGAAGGGAACAATTTCAACCTGAGTGGCATACAGACTTTAATATTAATGTCTATTTAGAGTGTAGAAAGGGAATAAATATAAAATAAAAATAGAAGTTTTCAAACATGATTTGATATGAAGGATATGTGCAGGAAAAAACAAATTATGACACCAGAATTTAATGTGAGAGTTCCCCCAAAGTAAAATCAATGTCTTAAATTCAGCAATAAGAGATGTAATTCAAATAATTTTAGTGTATAACAGTACTAGATATGAATGAAATTTGGTCTAAATATAACAAATAAGTGGTTTCCCATATGTTTGTAGAATTTTTTTCATTTTTTGATTTAAAATATATTTAGTGAACTTGACTTAAATCACACAGGTTCATAATAATAATCTTAAATATGAATGATGCAAATTAGGATACTTTAATCTTACTTTTTAGTTTTGAATATTGTGAGGAATAGTGAAGTTAGGTAGTTTTATTTGAGGACATATAAACTTCAAGTTCCCAGGCAAGGGCTGCATTAGAAATATATTCCTTCCAAGCTTGGCTTAGGGTAATAAGGCTAAACTTCCATATTGTGATTATCTTTGATAAAAGTTAGAAATGCCATATTTTGAGAATAATTTTAAAGTATTACTATGTTTATTTCTTAATGGATATTAATGGCATAAGTAATAAAGTATATTTTAAACAAAATACTGAAAATCCTTTATAAAGTCTCATATTTAGTATGAGTCATTCATCTCTAGAATTTTCAGGGAAACTGTACATGTCTAGACACCCATGTTAATTTCCCAAACATCTATGTGAGGGAGGTATGGGGGGCATATGATCTTTGTCAGTTTGGCAAAATACAGGAAACAAAGGAAGTTGGTGAATAACAGACTTGTACTGACAGACATGCGCAATCATGTGACAGCCTCTGCATCAGGCAATGAAGTACCTTATCTCTAATGCTCAAAGTCAACCTAAAAGGTGAATATTGTTTGCTATCTTAAAGTTGAAGAAACAGAGATTTAGAGAGGTGTGCGACTTTGCCAGCACCAGAATATTAGGTCTGCATGAGTTTAAATCCCTTGCTTTGCACACAAAAGAAAACCTGTCATCTTTTTTTAACTTTCTGTTTCTAGAACATCTCACATAACACATTTCGCATTTTGCACAGCAGCGTGATTTATTGGTGAGCATACTATTTGGCATTCATATTTCACTGCAAGTCCTTTGAAAACGGCGGTCGCATTTCAGACCTGTAGCCACGCTCTCCCCATTGTGTTCATCAACATCAGCACAGAGCATTCTACACAGAGAAGGCTCAAACAGATGTATTGGAGATGGGAATTTTCTTGAAATTCACTTGTTAAATGCTTTATATCTTTAGTAAGTCTTTTTTTCATGAGCAATTATCTTGTCATGCAACTAAATGAGTCTCTAATGCTTTTTCTCATTTCTTTTTCCTCCTTTTCTGTGTTTTTGAAGAGCTAGGTTTTAGAAATGAGTTGAGTGAAGATCCCTTTTGTATGAAAACTGATTGGTTTGGTAAAGCTAATGACAACACATACATTGGGGGAAAATTCCAGAAATTTTTCTTATTTTTTAATGTTAGTATTCAAAGAGTGAGGGTTTTTCTTCCTATAGGTTATGAGCAATCTTGTTTTTCACTTATCTAGTAAAATTTAGGTAGTTTAAGTGGTGTAATTTTATTATACATGCTCCCAAATTAGCACATTATTTTGGGGCTGTGTGTGAGAGATAGGCGGGCCCTGAGGCCACAATGTGAGAGAATGTTACCCTTCTCAAATAATAGCTTTGGTTCCTCCAAATTATTTTTTCCACCTCAATTTACACAATAATCAGGAAAACAAATACTTATGCCGAAATCAAAGGTAAAATATCATGGGAGAGGTGCCTTTATGCTTTTTCTGCAATCTTAAACCATTATAAGTGATACGTATGAAATTTCTTTCCTTTTTAATAAGATAACTTTCTCCTATTGCTTCATCAATGTGAAACTATATATCTTATAAAATAAACTATTCTGGTTTTCACTAAAGTCAAACTTCACAATAGCAATACTCGTATTTCTCTCTGAGAATAATATTCCCTGAAGCTCCAAAGGGAACTGTATAATTATGCTTTATAAACTATAAACCTGCATTTTTTCTACTTTTTCTTTCCAATTTTTATGCTGTTCAGGTTCTCCTCTTTTTACAAAGAAAGTATTTCAGCAAGACCTAATTTTATCCAGAAACTTGCTACACTGTTTCCCTCCTTTGTACAACTAATAAACATATTACTATCATACAGTTCCTTGTTTATTTCTACTATATAAATAGAAAAGAGCACTGATATTCGAGTCAGACATTTGGTTTGAAATTGTTGCTGCATAACATCAAACTTTCCACTTCAGTAAATGTGAGCCAGTATTTTCTACTTTACATATTTGAATGGATAATTAAATCAGAAAATTATTTAATTTCTAGAATATTGTTTGGTGGATGATACATAATAAAGAAATGTTCATTATTCTCTTTTTTTATGTGACTTCATTTCCTGTGTTGTGTTTTTCAGACTACAGTGTGAGTTGTTACAAAAATTGCTCTACTTCATTTGCATTTTCAAGAATATTTAGTGTATATTTTTGGGATAATGAATCAATAATTTACCTGGATGGCTACCCATAATTTTTCAGTAGCTAAACAGTTCTGTATGTATTTATCTTATTTGCATGTATTTATGTAATTGTATATGGGTCTGTAGGTATACACACATCCACTGATGTCAGTTTTTAACACTCACAAACTCAGGGGCCATAGAGAAAAAAGAAACAATACCTGAATGTTGAGGGTGGGGGGTACGGTTTGCTTGTTGATCTACCAATCAGTTTAAGTATTCTTTAAATGTCCATTAATTATTATGTGCATGGTAAATAATGTTGTTTTGAATTAGCAATTTCTTTCAAAATTTATTTTCAAAACGAATTATATAATTACAACAAATAAGTTCTCCATGTATTTTGTGAGTCAGGGAGTGAATAAGAGAAAATGAAATGAAAATGTGGCATATGATCCTTTCCACATAGTTTTGTTTTTATCTAAATCACATTTTTTTCCTGTTAATGCTTTTCCTGTTTGTAAGAGTAAAATACTCTGAATGTGTCTATTATGAACTTCATTTTTTAAATAAAATCTGTGAGATGGGGGATTTTTTGATATCCTTTGTGTTTAAATTTATAGCTCTTGGAATGCATCTAAAAACTAGTGACAGTAAATATTTTTTAGCTAGACTATCAAATGATCTTGTTCTTACATGCTAAAAGGATAAAATTGAAAACTAATGCAATGTATAATTGGTAATACATATAGCACTTATTATATGGTACACTCTTCTGGGAAATATATATTTTTATATAACTGAAAATTATAAATGTTAGCTTATTGAATGTTCATATAACCATATGGATTAAGTAATATCACTATTTCCCATTAAACAATAGGAAATTGATACTCTGAGGGCTTAAATGACTAACCCAAGATTACAGTACTGGAAGAGTTAGTCACTGAGATAGGGTGATGTTGACCCAGAGTCTATGCTCTTAACTCCCGTGTTATGCACAACAGTGCCAGGAATTCAGACAAATATGTGTAATTTTGCCTTATAACCTATGCAAGTACTTCAGAAATAGTTTCAAATTTATATTGTCAAAATGAGGATTATAATACAGTCTTCAGTAAATTATCTCTATTTTTAATACCCCTTTACAGAAAAAAATGAATTCATACTCAAAATATGAAGTGACCTGAAATATATATTAATCATCAGAGTACAAAGGAGAGGGGGGCAGAAGGAAGATGTGGTCCCTGCATGGTTTATTGAATTTAAAGGTTCTGGGAGAGACAGGATCATCAAAATTTGGTCATGTTCCCTCAGCATTTGTGTTCTCTAAGATAAATCTGTGCATACTTAGGGGGAGGCAGGTATATCAGTTTGATTCACTAATGTCACTTTTTTAATGCTTAAAAATTTTAATGCCTCCCATGAATGTATTTAATGCTTTTAAGCAAGTTTTTTCATCTTGAGTTGTAAGATCCTGGAGAAGGTGTTACATATTTTAATCAATATTCTATGTTTTCCTAGTCCAGTGCTTTGTATTTCAGTGAGTACTCTATAAACTGCTGCTGAATTGATTAATTATGTTTGAGCATAATTAATTAATGTAAATCTGTGATCTTCACAGATTTACTTACAAAGATGCTTCTAACGGCAATGTAGTTAATATGTAGAATGATTTCTCAATGAATACCAGGACCGAGAATGAAAGTAAAAGTCATATGTTTAACTTTTTTATTTTAAATTCAGAGTAATCACCATGGCTGGATGCTCAGTTGGGTGGAGACTCACCCTGATAAGCCAAGGTTGGGGGCTCCTTCCCTGTGGATTCATAAATAAGTGGAACAACAAATCAATGTTTCTCTCTCTCTCTCTCAAAACTAATAAAGAAATTAGGCTCCTAGTAATGATAATGAATGAATGTTTTAGTAAAGTTAGTAAAAATTACATTTGTAGAAAATATTTATACATAATAAGTGCCAAATATGTCTATACATATTAATGAATTATACAAATTAGTTACTAAAATTAATATAATTATTTACATTAATATGTCCAGTGATACTGAGTTTTTCATTTCAGTCTCTTTGGGGTCTGGGAAATAACCACTGTTAATATGCACATAAGTATTGTCACTTAGGTAATTTATTCATTTTTATATATAAATCCTGTACTCTTTAAAATGAAATGAGGAGGTATAACATATTTTCATGAGGAAACAAATTTTCAATGAATTAAGAAAACCTCTATTTGATCACCTCTTTTTTTTTCTTGTTTGCAGGATTCGGATTTGGGATATTGGTGTTTCTGTTTTTGAGGAATATTTCTTTTTTTGGGGTTTTAATTTTTTTTAAATCATCGGTCTTGCAATACAGAAGAGGAACCCGAAACACTCCTTTGTTACACATTTCCAACACTCTTGAGGCACTTTCACGCTCAACCACACAACCATGTGGCTGTCACAGCTACTTGTCTTCATGATGCTCTCAGCACCAATAGTTCACGGTAAGGCCTTTAATTAGTTTTTGTGTGATGCTTAATGTTGTCTCAGTTATACTGCTCCCCTTTCTTTAAATTTTTGCTCTAGAATTTTGCAGCCTTTGCCTACCCTATGTTAATAGAAGTTAGAGTAAATGGCCACAATGTGAATCATAAGCTGCAATAAATATGAGTTTGAATTTAATTTTTAAGGTAACTTTTGAAATGTATGTATAACCAAAGGTTTAAAAAAAAACACTTGGGTATTTTATTCTTTATTTATACTACACTTAGGAAAATTCAGCTGAATCATTAAACTATATTACTCATTGTGAATTTTTTCACTTATATATTTTTATAATTAAAATTATTTTTTATGTAGTAAGTATGAACGTTTGAAAGAAATCACCCTCAAAATCTGATTTCCCAAACCAGGTAATCATTTGTTTGTGAGTCTTTACTATTCTGTTTAATCTTTAATACATAGACTAAAAACTAACCTCTCATTAAAGGAAAATTATTTTTGTCATATACCTTTCAATGCAAAATAGAAATAAACACATCAAAATATAAGCAAATACAGAAAGGTAATTTTATAGATACATGCTAATATACTCATAAAAGACTGTAAACCTTGTTTATTTAAACATGTTGGTGCTGACAACACAAATATGTGAGAAATCATATGCCTTTGTAAATGTTATAAAACATATGACAGTTTAGTGAGTATGTAAGACAATTTCTGTGCAGCTTAGTACATAACATTCCCTGAATCTCAATAAAAACTGGCAAGGTAAAGTCTACATGTAGGTTCCTTTTTCACAATTTAAAGATTTTTACTAATTACCATTGGTTTTGCGCTAAGAAGAAAATGGTATAATATAGCCACTATCTCATAGATTCATGGTAATTATTCATCATTTTTTACATATGTTCATGGTAATTGAAGCAAAGAACACAACTGTACTTACCAGTGCTTAAGAGGTCTCAGAATATCATAATGCATCATGTGGCTGAAATGAATTTTAAGCCTCTTTCATTTACTTTTGGTTTTTAATTGATTATGGAAATCTATTGTATTTCATTAGGATGCAGTTCCAAATTTGGCCTATGTTCCTGAGTTTCAAATTGAACTGCATTCTGCTGTCATTGTAAGAACTGGATAAAGTAACTTGTCTCTTTTGAGTTGTTCTCTAAAGTTCCCCTGATTTCACACATTTACATCTAACAGATCACTATAATATAGGGTAGTACTTTTTTTTAATGAAAGTAAAATTATAAAACCATAAACTATAAATTTTGTCAAAAATTTCAAAATGTTTACTTAACTTATGTACTGGTGAAGTACTTAAACATTCACACACTTGGGAACATAAAACATTTTGTGACATGGGACAATCAAATAATTATGGCACTTTAAATATGTACTTTTCTCATTATCTTTTGGACTGGCCAAAAAGTCCACTTAGTTTTTTTTCCCTGCGATCACTCTGGTAGAGCTTATTTGTCTTTAACTTTTTGAAATGATTTTGTTAGATTATACTATGATAGCTGTTTTATCAGTGTGTAATTATAAAAATCCAAATTGTTGAGTTTTTATGCAGGCATTTTAATTTTGAAGATGGAAGAAAATATGCAACATTTTTGGCATATTATGCTTCATTATTTCAATAAAGGTAAAAATGCAACTGAAACCACACAAAAAGATTCATGCAGTGTATGGAGAAGGTACTGTGACTGATTGAACATGTCAAAAGTGGTTTGCAAAGTTTCTTGGTACTACAGACATTTTGGCCAAACAATTATATGCTGTGGGGCTGTCTTATGCATTCATAGATGTTTAACAGCACCCCTGGCCTCTACCCACTAGAAGCCAATAGCAGGAGTTAGCTGACATTCTCAAAATATCCAAGTCAATAAAGTTATTGGTGAAAATGAAAAACATGTCTTTTATTTTAAGGAAAGAACTAAACACCCTTTATGGCCAAGCTTATATATGTCTAAAGATGATTTTAGTTAGATTTTTGATGTTATAGAAATGCTCTACTCATAAGGTTCTTTTATGGATTGAAGAAATAGCATGTGTAAAAATTCTAGCACAATACATGATGAATATTAAGTACTTAAACATGTTAATTTCCTTCATCGTACTATCTGTCCCTCTACTTTTAGTTCCAGTAGATTTTAACAACCAGGGATTAGCTCAGAAATAATCTTACCATGAGACGTGTTTGTTTTGATATTGATGCTCAAGGGGAAATGAATATATACACTATATTATTTATTTAGTCTGTCCCTCCTGACCATAGACAACTAACTTTTCTGGGTATGACCTGAGTAGCTATAATTTTCTCTTGAGTAAATAATGATGATTTTATAGCCATGCACTTTAGATGCATTGGTACAATTAATTCACACAACATTCTTATGGTTTCAACATTTATTATTATAGTCTTTATCATTAACTTTTTATGGTAAAAATATTGAATTATTGAGTGGTAAACTTGACTAATATTACACAGCTATTAAGGGATTCAGAGGGGATTTAAAATCAAGGGGTTTTGTGAGCTTCAGTCTGACTGTCAGTAGATAATCAATTTCTATCAAGGCCATTCTTCCCAACAGAAAATCCTGTAACAACTCTTCTGGTCATTTGGGAGAGGTGAGGCAGAAGTCCAGATCACCCGTCCCTTCCATCATATGGGCGCAGACAGAGTGAGCTTTGAAGTCTGACAAACCTGAGATAAAATTCCAACTCTGCCACCTGCTAGCACTGTAACCCTTTCACTAGGTAAACTAGTTACTAATACCGGTTCACCCACTGTGCGTCATAAATCTGTGCTAGCTGCTAAAAATATGGCTGTGAAAAATATTTTTAATTCTTTCCCCCAGGAGCTTACAGTAATTTAAAAGTTTATAAGCCTGCTTTTCATCTACCATATATATATATATATATATTACATGCAGAGTTATTTTAAGAATGGGTAAAATAGTATACTACATGTAGCTGCTAACACAGTGCTTGTCATTTGGTAAATCTTCCTTGTATTTGATTTTTCTACTCTTAACTATCTTGAAATAGAGCTAAACTTCTGAGACTTTGATAAGGAACATGAATAATTGTCCTTATTCTTGCCCTGAGAATTGAAAGAATCTTTTTCTACTTAAACCTCAGCATTCAAGTTATGCCAGAAATTTCTAAATACTACTCTCTGAACAAAATTATTATTAAACCAATATGTATCAAAGCTTAGTAGATACTGTAAAGTTTAGTATATAATGGTCAGTATATAAAAATATAAGTATAATGTATAATTATCAGTGATACTAGTATATAATTGTCAGTGGTAGTAATATATAAATAGTAGTATATGATGCATTTTTGCACGATCTTTACATAGATAAAATTAGAAACCAAGCTAAAGAACTAATTCTGAATAATATTAACATTAATTGAATAACCTTCACAACATCCTAGAAATTCAGGCTAGTATTTTATATAGAAAAACAAAATTAATCAGTACATTCACATTATGAATATATACATATATAAACAATTATTTTAATTGAGGAATTGTCTCTAGTTCTGTGTTTTTCTGTCCATATTCTATGTCTCCATGTGCCTCTGTATTTCTGTTTTCCATAACTGTGCCCTCCTCCTGTACAGCCATAAAACCCTTATCTATCATGCAGTGAGACCTGGCAGAAGTAAAGAAAAGCAGCAAAAGTAGATGGCCAGTTCTTTGCTGTTAACTAATGACTGTTACATGAAGATAAAGGATTTTTTTGGTTCTGCTGATGCTGTTGGAAACAAGTGAGAATAGTGGAATTGGGGAACACTATACAATGGTAATATGGGCACCTGGGACTCATGCCGACTGTGGAGGAATACCGTGGTCCTGTGTTGGCCTTGGGTAGGAGACGTGGTCGGGCTGTGACTCCACCCAAGCCACGATGGATTTGGAGCTAAGAAGGTGTTTGGGGTACTTAGATATTTTAAATATACCTAATTTTAATTTAACTGTACTTATAAATTGTGTCTTTATTGGAAAGGCAGAAAACAGGATCATTTGAGCTCACTATGAGTTATGGGAAACAATATTTTTATGGTATATTTGCATAGAATATAGGGTTTTAATATTTTTTTCTATAACTACCATAAGTTTCCTTTTTCTGCAAGCCTATTTCTTTCTGTAAAGTTACATGTGTGCTTATACATTCATGGACTTTATAGGCTATCCTGATTTTTATTATGTTCAACAGGGTAGTTACAATAAACAGTTCTTAACAGTGACAAAACAATTAATAGATGCATATATATTTAGTACTGTACTTTTTATGTGATTTGCATTTTATTATTAACCTATTTTAACAGTTATGCTATTTAATGTGTCAGTGATTTAAAATACTACTCATATGTTTTAACTTTTAATAAGATATGAAGTTTGAGAAAGTAGAAAATTACTTTTACTATATAACATCTTACCATATAATTCTTTTTTATGAAGTTATGTTTTATTAAGTGTGAAAAAGCCAGGTTGGCTTCTAAGCTCTGCTACACTTTGTTATTGTGTGATTTCCAGAAATTAATCATCCTTGATATGTTTATAATGACTGCCACACTGGGTGATTTGTAATGTTTGCAGTAATATCACTATTTTATGGTCAAATATGTTATACAGAAAATGCTTTGTCATGGTCATGATCTATGTGGTTCCTGCCAAGACATCCAACACCATCTTCATTGGACACACAGGACTGAATTTCAAATGTATGTGTTCTGTAAATTAATGATGCAGTCTCTGATACTACAATATAAAGCACAAACATGCATGGCCAATAGCTTTTCCTTTGTAAGAATGGGTTTAGAAACCTTCCCTACACACTCGGTGTGCAGTTAGCAATTTGAAAAGAGTTTTCTTTTGCTTTCATACTTGCAAACCACGTTACATGTTTTTATTGTAGTGATAGTCATGAGTGGCTAGTGTATACCTGGAGTAAAATAGCATTTTCTTCTATTCAGTTTT